GTTAGTATTAATATTAGGAAAAAAAAACAATCACTTTCTCCTTAGTGGATGATCTCGGAATAAAAAAGTATTTTACCAAGATACATTAGCCTCTTAATTGATTTAAAAGAACTGTTCAGAAAGAAAAATTTAATTTAAAAAATAAGCTCTACTGAAATTAGCACTTCTGCCCCCACCTACTCCCCAGTATGCATGGGTGGGGCTCACCAAGTTGTGGGGTTCGATGTAATAAGCGCTGGCCTTATCGATTATTATAATTGATTATTGACAATATAACTTAGGTAGAAAAAAAAAGTAAAAGTACAAAAATGAGAAAAACAACGCTGCTGAAACTACCGCTTTTGGTGATCCAACCTCATCGGGGATTTCTGCGTAGTAAGCACGGCAACGGCCATACAGATACACGATGTATATTATTAGTTGATGACTGAAAATGTAACGTCAGTTTAATGAGTAATTTAAAAAAGAAAATGGCGTATGGTCATAAAACAGTGCTGAAAAAAAATGCCAAAAGTCACAACAGGACCAAAAATAAATACCCCACCCCGCGCCGGTCGGGTGTTTCAGGGTAAGACGCCGACCATATATATATATATATATATATATATATATATATATATATATATATATAAAATATAATAAAATTAATGACAAAGGAAAAAGATTTTCATGTAAAGCGTTTCGACCTTTAGGACTTCATCAGATTAAAGTATATTGTGCACTTATTAGACCGTCTATACGCCGGTATACAAAAGGACAGTTCTGAAAATTATAGTTTTGTTTAATTTTTTTCTGTTTTTGATTTATTATATTTTTGTTTCCTTTCTATATTTTTCTCGTTATTTTTTTTTTTTTTTTTTAAATTTTCGCCATACTCCGAATTTATGGTCGATAAATATTAAAATGAAAAAAGAAATCTTCCTATATTATTTAAAACCAAAATAATTAGTCGTATGGGGTGGGGAACAATTGATTGGTGGAGTAGGTAATGGTTGCTCTAGTTATTTAAGACGTTGCATACCGAGAAAGACAAAATTCGGAAAAATGTTATTGAACTACCAACATCATGATTTTGAAACTTCTTGGACACATTTTGCGAATGGATCCAGAATGTTCAGATAACAAAGCCATGGAATTTTACTTTGAAAAGACTGGCTTCAAAAAGTTCAGAGGTCATCCAAGAACCACCATTTTTACAACGCTGAACCGAGACAGTCAAAGATTCCATTTTTCCTTTGGAGAAGTTTACAATCATGGAAGATCTGCAACAAATCAGCAAAGTTGCAGAGGACAGAGAAAGTTTGACAAAATATTGTCGAATCAGTAAACAATGTCACTGAAGATGAGAGAACATGTTAGTGCATGACCTCAAATCGAAACAATTTTGCTGTTGATGATGTAACGTTTTATTAATTTATTTTAAGGTATCTAAACTAAATGGACATTGAAACAATGCGTCTTTATTAAATTTTCACTTCATCAAAATAATTATCTATAAGAAATTGGAAACCTAAACTTCCAATGTCTTTGATGATGGTTCGGTATATAAGAATCTCACTTGAGGTTTGTAGCGAATTTTGAGTTCAAGTAGGCGCCAAGGCAAGGGGCCTACCTGAAAGTATAACTGTTCAACAGGAACTGAGAAGATATAGTGCCTGCTAGGTATCTAAACTATAATTAGGATTATTTACTGTTGTCCTCACCTTTATTGCCATATTCGCGACGTTATACGCTCCGGTTTTCTTCAGGTGATGGGGATTTTTAACTGAACGGGGTAGGTTGTTCTAGTTCCACGTGACATGCCCCTTTCGGGTGTCTCAGTTATCTTCCTTTAACTCAACTCTCCAAGTGTTTTATTCACCACTGCAGTAGCTAGGTATTGGACTCACAACTCTTTGGGTCAAGCCACTTAATCCAACCAACGCTTTTATCCTCTGTGTCATGTGTTTTTGAGTCCAAACAATGTGGATAATTACAATTCCTAGTCTCAGAAATATAGGCAGATATATTTAGGCTGGCAAAATATTGTCGAATCAGTATACAATGTCACTGAAGATGAGAGAACATGTTAAATTTATGGCGTCAAATCGAAACAGTTTTGATGATGAGGAGGGGGGGACAAATCAAAACAGAAACCTACCAAAGTAACATAAGGAAGTTTTTTTATTTATTTATTCATTTATTTTATTTTTTTTTTTTATTTATTTATTTATTTATTTTTTTTTTTTTTGAAAGACTTTCATTTTTAAGTCGAACAGTTAGAACGTAAAATTAGCCAAGGGATATAATCCAGAATATTGTCTTATCGTTAATAGAAAGAGGCAAGTTGAAAAATAGGGAAAAGGTTAAGTGATGAGGAGATTGGATGGTTAGAAATAAAACGAAAGAAAATAGGACGAGAGAGATGTATTTAAGGGAGAGTCGAAAATACAAAGACAAGAAAGAAGAGAAGAAAAGGAAAAAAGAAAATGTAGCATAAGAAAGTAAAAGAGAACGCATTAAAAGAAAGGAAGAAAGAATCACAGAAAGAGAGAGTGGGTGATGACAAAAGAAGAGGAAGTAAAGATTAAAGAAGAAAGGAGAGGAAGGAGAAGATCAAAGAAGAGTAAAAAGGAATATACAAGAAAAGGTATCCGGCTTGTGAAGAGCCCGTAATAGTTATATTCGTCTACATAGGTACCCCTCAACTTTAAAAGGGCAGAGGTCACAAATGCCTTTAAAGGAATAATAGTTTTTTAAGACACGTGTATAGAATGACTTCAATTAAATTTCTCCCTCACTCTTATTTTCTCCTTATTGTTAATTATAAACTCTTGGCCAGTCATTTTTTCCTAACTCTTCCCCTGTTTCCTCCCTTACTTTGATGAAAATCTTCCCACTACTCACCCTCAGCAAAATAAAAAAAAAACAAAAAAAAAAAAACAATAAGAAGTGGAAAGCAAAGAAGAA